GGGGGGGGGGGGGGGGGGGGGGGGGGTACTAGAGTATCCGAAGCTATAAATGGTCGGGGCTTTGATGACGAGCACTTTGGTATCCGCCTCAGACCCGACTACTGACTGACCAACTTCTATCGACAGACGTTTAGATAATTTGGTAGACTGTGACGGCTGAGCTTTTTCATGGGCTTTGGTTGGTATGATTCTACCTTGCAGCGGTACGGTATGCACAGGTCGGCCACTGGGGAGACCTGACACGAGGTTCTTCAACTCTGTGTGTGTATGGGGGGGGGGATTGTTTGGCTAGCTCGGTGCTAACTTCGGAGTCTTTGGTTTCAGGGCGTTAGAAAATGACCGAGAACGATCAAAAGGGTTTCTTGCCTGGTACCTACGTTTGGCCTCAGGGAAAGGCTTCTCAGCGACTCTGCTCTTCTGGATCTCTCTCCTTAGGAGTAGGTAGGGCACTGGTTGGAGTTGGCCAGATTGTCACCTTCGTAGTTCACTCAATGCGGTTGTGTTGCGCAGGGCTCTGTTTCGAGCATAGATTTTCCGAACTTTCCGCACACGCACGGTTTTTGCCATGCATCTTTGCGTAGTATTGCCGAAATTTTGGTACTTATAGCACCGCAAAGGGTTAAGCACATATTGCCGTTCGCGGATATATATATGTATGTGTATGTGTATGTATATGTATATATATATATATATATATATATATATATATATATATATAACGATGGAGATCCTTTCCGTGAGAGATGGAAAATCGAATGTCGGAATCAGAGTATAAGTGGGGATTTCTCGCCCATGCTCCTTCCTCTGTAAACGTTGGTCACACATCGAGTCTTAAGAAAACGGGACTAATGACTCGTACAGCCCAGTGCGGAAGATCTGTGCGGAATTGCCGCAGTGGGAATTTCGCGTCATGTGTTGCCTTATGAGCACGTTCAGACCTACGGGGCAGGTGAGCTAGCGGATGAATTTTGTTACGCAGTCGGACGCGTTTTTTCCGCCGTTGCTCGAGTTTCGTGGAAATCGGCCCGCCTTCGGGAGTCTTCGCTCCCAACAGGGTCGAACTTCCTTGCCTTCCGCAGAAACCTGTCAGTGCCACACGGCACGGAACTCTCCGCGACGGTCAGTGGAAACCATAATTCTTTCAGCAGAAAAATCCTCATGGTTCACCACTCCCTTGCAGAAGTGAAGTGTTGGGTGGGTAGTCACTTCCACCTGGAGGCCGGCAATTTGTTTGGTTTTCTGAATCTTTTCGATCTGCTCATCAGTGCGTACTTCAAAGGAGTCGATGGAAGAATGATTGAAATTCTTAGCTCTAAGCCAAAACTAGAAAAATCAGCAAGTGCAAATATAATCTTTGCCTGTTATCATCGATGTCTGAGAAAAACATCAACCATTCCTATTCAATATCGTTCAGGTGACAAGTAATAGCGTCAAGAAAGAAAGGAACGGCTGAGCCCTATTATAAAACTAACTCCTTTAACAAAGTTCAATGCGCATACATAAAAGATTGTTATACAAAAGGTGGAACAAAGAGGGAGTAATGTTTTTAAATTGCTTCTTCGAGGTATTATCACTGCTTACATTTATTGCCAACAACAGAGGCATCTTACAGTTGCAATTTAAGAAAATTGACCTAGAAGACAGCTGCCTGACGTGATGTTACTGCGTGATATTCACATGAACTTAAGATCCAGAACTTAAAAAGGACACAACATGAAGCTGCAAAAAAGTCATTGATCACATTTTATCGTAAATACAGTCGTAAATGACAGGATAGACCTTGCGAGCAGTGTTAGTAAAGAGACCTGGAATGCATTCAAGAATAGACTGGACCATCACTATGAAGCCGAATAAATTAAGTAATCGAGTGATATGATAACTCTGATTTCGTTTATTGGTGACAAACTATGATTTGGATAACATGAACACTGTGTGGTACCACAATGTGGTAACTAATATTAATGTTCAAATTATTAATTATAAGTTGCATGTATATCATATTATAGGGCGATTTTTATAAGGATGGACCATTTTGACAGCTAGTGCTGGTAACATAACTGAAGGTTCTGTGTTCGTTGTGTCCTTCAGCCCATTTGATTCTCCTTTCAACAATCGTTCGTTTGCGGCTGGCTAACTTGTTAATGGCTTCAATGCTTCCTTTTGTGATGTCCTTGTCTGTCGAAAATATAGTTTGCCTGGAGAAATTGCAATTAGGAAGAGCAGTGCTATTGTGCTCTTCTGTATAAATTATTTTTTATAAACATTACATTGAATTTACTTTTTGTGTAATAAGTATTATGTTTATTCGAAAACCAAGTCTTGAAAGTCAGACGCGTACTGGTGCACCTGCTCCTGTGCAGTAAAATGGTGAGCCGAGTTCGAGAACGTTTACATTTAATCAATTTGTTTTATTTTTATAATTACACGGTTGTGAACCATGAGAAGCCATGATGACTTAACAGGAGCCATGTACATCATAAACACTTTACGAAGAGGCATGGTTGAACAGTTGTCACAGCAGAGTGATACTTCTCTGAATTTCATGTGATGTTCACTCATTCTATCATTCTAGCTCTCTTAGGCGGATTCTTCTATATATGATTTCTGCCACCATTATTGAAATGTATCGAAATAAAGAAATGTTCTATCTGAGAGAAATGCCATTTTGATAAATTTCCTTATTTTCTGGAATGTTCCCATTTATGAAACCAAAGGCTAAAAGGCTTTCTTATTGTCTATATAGATCTTGATGTATTCCTGTGTCCAACGATCAAAGAATACAAGTAGATTAGTAACATCAGATCTTCCTGGTAAGAAGCCATGTTGGTTTAAAAGACTCCAATTATTGGCACATAAAAACTTTAGCAATGTAACAATAAAAGTTAGTAATGTAAATAATAAAATATTCCTTCTTTTTTTGTTGTCTTTCCTGCTGAAGTAGTAATGACATCAGTGCATCAGTTTAGGGGAGTGTAAATCGATTAATGGCCAAAAAATTGTTGTTTTTGTTGTTGTCGTTTTATTGAGTTTTCATTTTCTCTAATCTTTTCTATTTTTCATGAGTTATGACAATGGATACTATGTTAATTTGATTCGTAAATTAAAACATGAACACACAATTTTCCTGCATCTGCTGTCACGTAAACCATTAATTTTCATTTCATATTTTTTCAATATGGTTTCAAATTTTTCAGAAACTGTAGAAGTTGGCAAACCTATTTCTTTGCTGCTTGCACATACTTCTAAGCAAGTAAGTAAGTAAGTAAATTCTTCTGCAATTTTTTTTCTTTCTTTAAAAGGAACATTTTCTGTCAAAGTATTCATCATAAAAAAATTAAAATTTTGTGAATATTTGAATTGAAATGTGCTATAAATGAAGAATTAAGCACATTTACAAAATGCATTGTTCTTTTGATTTTATTAGAATGAATATACAAGAAATTGCAGGAAATATGATTATTCAGTTGTTTTTTTTTAATTTTGTATGCATATAAATGATGTAAACACTGAATTTAAAAAACACACTGCCACCTCTAATATTTTGCCTGAAAATGTATCACCAATTAGCCATATTTTAATACTATCGTAAAGGGAATTCACACTCCCCTTAAAATAAATATATAATATACAGTAACAAAACAATCTAGAAGTGCTTACCACTGAAGGAATAGATATGCGGGGCATCATTGATTGTGGTTCCACTGACATACCAGAATTGTTGGCCATACCTTCTCTAGAAGGCATTCGCATAAACCTAGGAGGCTTTTCGTAAGTATTCGAATTTGTCTCTCGAGGAGATGCTGATGGTTCCTGATTGACAGCAATCTGTAAACACCACAATTGTTCTCAGTACATAGTCGAACACAGACCATTCAACAGTTATGAATATTTTATTTACTTCCCAAGAAGGACGGGTTCAATCATCTACCATGCAACTATTTCTAATATCAAGTGTTTTACAATCTTTCTATTCTACATTTTACTCTACAGAAAGACAACCAATAAGAATCTACTAAAACTACAAATTTCTTGGAATCAAATTATAAAGCAGTAAGATGTACACAAGACCTACATAGAAGTTCAAAATGTGTACATGTAAAATGCATTGGAGCTCAACTAAACTGAAAAAAGGATCATTTTCATGATCATGATTCTTTCCTACTTAAGGACTCTTTTATGTAACTAATAAAATAATTTGATATCATTTAAATTTTTATGGGGTATTTGCTACCCAACCCAAGTAATCTACATGGACACTCTTTTATATTCCCCAAATTGTACATTGTTTAAAAGTCAGATTTTGTAATTTTGATCTTCCAGCCAGGTGCATAATAATTATAATAAATGTACTAAAAAAAGAAAAAAGAAAGAAAGAAACTACTATTTTTCATGTCCATGTAGCACAATGTTAATTCACATTATTATATATTTATTCTATGATTATATCATTTCATAAGTTCACAAATAAAGAATTTTTTTGTGTTTTTTTTCTTTCTTTCTTGTTTTATGTTATAAGGGAAATAAGTGCAAGGTATAAAAATGGTTCTGTACATCACAAAAATGCAAATCTGAAGTTATAGAGAAGTCTATGCCCTCTTGAAAGTTCAGTTCTATAACTTTTGTTTAGAATATAAATCTCCCAGATGCCAACTGTGGATGGTATAACATTTTTGTTTTTGTTTTTCTTGGAACTTATATCTCTTTTCAAATCACCAATTCAATTGGTACAGCTTAATTCTGAATCTGTAAAACTCATTATCTATTATGGCCATGCAATAATATTCTAAACAAATAAATAAATAAATGTTCAAATGGTGTATTTTCTTACAGCATTCAAAACTTCTACTGTCATAATTTTTCCACCCCTTATTTCTTTCTTAAATATCTATTCTTGCTTAGAGCAAACACAAAAACAGAACAAAAAGTTACAAAAGAACTATAAGTGCAGGAAGCAATACTGGAAGTGAAAAGTACAGAAAAATATAGAAAATACGCTAAAATTCAGAGGAGAAGAAAGTGGATGGAAGGTAACGTAACCTCATGGTACTGTGGATTGTATTTTTCATTATCACATCTCACCAAATTTTCTTCACCTGCCCCAAAATCACAAGTATAATGATGTTTCTGTTCATAGAACAAATCAACCTGATAAAACAAAACAGGGGGAAAAAAAAGAAAAAGAAGTTAATAATAAATGTATTTAGATATATTGAACTTTTAAATGAAGAATACCTACTTGTCTTGGTGGTCTTGAGATTGATTGTCCTTGAGAAAAAGTTACAGATAGATGAGGTCGAGGAGATGTAAAATTACGTTTTACTGGTTTTGGAGGCCTCATAAATGTAGGAGGCGGCCTCCAATGTTGAGCAGCTGTACGTCGTGGACCCATCTAAACAGAAAAAAGTGCTATTTAATACATAGAAGTAGTATTACACTAAAGCACCCAGAGGTATCCTTACAACTCCTGGCATTCCTTACGTTGTTGTCAGTGCCATTGTGACCCCAGTTCAAGAGGTGCATTGTACCAGAGTGCAAAAAATAGAATTCTTATTTAAATCTCTTATTGAAACAAAACAAAATTTGTGATGTATATCAAAGAGCAAAGCACTTTCACCCTGTGAGTTAGTAAACTATGTAGAAGTATAACCAGAGATACTTAAGTTTTTGTATTACACCAGTTACATAAAATATACAGAACATTATAGGACGGCATTGTTTTGTCAGTCCTTTTCTCTGTTAGACATCAATGCTAGCGCTTAAACAGTTCAGACGGTTTTCTTGAAAATTTATATAATTGTCATGCAATTCTGTCGTATGTCAATTGTCCTCATTGATCTGGAGGAACTTGTGGTTCTGCGAGTTTCAAACGGATATGTCGATTTACTTGAAGACAACAATATTTTTGAAATTTTCTTAAAAATGGCTTCAATTATTTAATGAAACATTGTCCTTGGATAGCAAACTCGGAGGGGAAGTAAAGTTGACTGTCCCATGTTAGTAGATTTACTTGCATGTAAAAGATCCTCAAGCCTAAATGATGCCTCTGCACTAAATTCAAATCCTGTTTCTCACACAGGAAATACTTCCTTTCTCTGCTAGTTGGTGAAAGGAGCGTAGCAAAATTTGCATGGTCAGACAGAAGAGCAGGCCGCAAGTCTGGTCACGTAAAATAAGGCATTAATTCAATTCAATTCAAATTCTTGAAAGAACAGCGCAGATCTCATTTTCGTAGAAGCTCCTGATTTTTTGAGAATTGCATAAGTTCAACATCTTTTTCGGCAACTTTCTACAACTACAATATTGAAGATGGAGATTTTTCTCAAAATGTTGTTGAAAGACAGGTCTTGAAATATGATCAGGTACAATTTTCAGAGTATGTGAGTAAATTTCACATAATTTTGCGTGAAATATAAGCAGTTTCTAAACAATTATTTTCTCAAAAACTATTCCATTTTTTCTTTGTACGTCTGTCTGCCCAAAGGGAGGTACAAAACTGGTGCTGGTCTCATTTTTGCAAACATTGCACATACGAAATCAAACATTGTATTTTCTAAAATTGCAAAAAACAACACTGCAAGAGTACAATGTTGATGGTAATGATAACATTCTTTTTGTAAATACCAGTAGTTTTCTTGTAATTTCTTGTTGACCTTACTGCAACTTTCAAAAAACAATTCTCAAAAAACGGCCCCAATTTTTTTGTTTATTTTTTAAAGATAAGAATAAAGAACACTCTAAATTGTGCAAGACTAGTTTTCATTTAATTTGTGGAATGTTCAAATTAAAAAAAAAAAATACTTTTTCGTCGCCGCCACGCGCCTCTGAACTTTTGTTGTGCGTTGCACACCTGACACAGAGTAATCTTTCGTTATTATTGTGAGTGTCTGTCTGTGTGTGTGAGTGTCTGTCTCTCTCTCTGTGTGTCTGTCTCTCTCTCTCTCTCTCTCTATCTGTGTGTGTGTGTGTCTGTCTCTCTTTCTCTCTCTCTCTATCTGTGTGTGTGTCTGTCTCTCTTTCTCTCTGTGTGTGTATGTCTGTCTCTCTTTCTCTGTGTGTGTGTGTCTGTCTCTCTTTCTCTGTGTGTGTGTGTGTGTGTGTGTGTCTGTCTCTCTTTCTCTGTGTGTGTGTGTGTGTGTGTGTCTGTCTCTCTTTCTCTGTGTGTGTGTGTCTGTCTCTCTTTCTCTCTCTGTGTGTGTCTGTGTGTGTGTGTGTCTGTCTCTCTTCCTCTCTGCGTGTGTCTGTCTCTCTTCCTCTTCCTCTCTGCGTGTGTGTGTCCTCCTCTTCTCTTCTTCCTCTCTGCGTGTGTCTGTCTCTCTTCGCTCTCTGCGTGTGTCTGTCTCTCTTCCTCTCTGCGTGTGTCTGTCTCTCTTCTCTCTCTGCTGTGTGTCTGTGTGTCTCTTTCCTCTCGCGTGTGTCTGTCTCTCTGTCCTCTCGGCGTGTGTCTTGCTCTCTCTCTTCTCTGCGTTGTGCTGTCTCTCTCTCTCTCTTTCTCTGCGTCGTGTTGTGTCTCTCTCTCTTCTCTGCGTGTTGTGTTGTCTCTCTCTCTTTCTCTCGCGTTGTGTGTCTCTCTCTCTTCTTCTCTCTGCCTGGTGTTGTCTCTCTCTCTCTTTCTCTGCGTGTGTGGTCTCTCTCTCTCTTTCTCTGCTGTGTGTGTCCTCTCTCTCTTTCTCTGCGTGTGTCTGTCCTCTCTCTCGTCTTCTTTCTCTGCGTGTGTCTCTCTCTCTCTCTTCTCTGCGTGTGTCTGTCTCTCTCTCTTCTCTGCGTGTTGCTGCTCTCTCTCTCTCTGTGTGTGTCTCTCTCTCTTTCTCTGCGTGTGTTGCCTCTCTCTCTTTCTCTGCGGTGTGCTCTCTCTTTTCTCTGCGTGTGTGCCTCTCTCTCTTTTCTCTGCGTGTGTGTGCCTCTCTCTCTTTCTCTTGCGTGGTGTCCTCTCTCTCTTTCTCTGCGTGTGTTCTCTCTTTTCTCTGCGTGTCTGTGTCTCTCTCTCTCTCTTTCTCTGCGGGTGTTTCTCTCTTTCTCTGCGGTGTCTCTCTCTCTCTTTCTCTGCGTGTGTTGTCTCTCTCTCTTCTCTCTGTCTCTCTTCCTCGTGTGTGTCTCTCTCTCTTTCTCTGGTGTTCTCTCTCTCTTCCTCGTGTGTGTGTCTCTGGTGGTGTCTCTCTCTCTCTCTCTGTGTGTGTCTCTCTCTCTCTTCCCTCTGTGTGTGTCGCTTCTCTCTCTCTCTTCCTCGTGTGTGTCCTTTGCTCGGCTCTCTCTCTCTCTTCCTCTGTGTTGTGTCTCTCTCTCTTCTTCCTCTTTGTGTGTGTCTCTCTCTCTCTCCTCTGTGTGTGCCTCTCTCTGCTCTTCGTGCTTTGTCTCTCTCTTCCTCTGTGTGTGTGTCTCTCTCTTCTCCTCGTGGTGTGCTCTCTCTCTCTTCTTCCTCTAGTGTGTGTCTCTCTCTCTCTTCCTCTGTGTGTTGTGTCTCTCTCTCTTCTCTTCTCTGTGTGTGTTCTCTCTCTTCCTCTGTCTCTCTCTCTTCGTCTGCTTGTGCTCTCTCTCTCTCTCTTCCTCTGTGTGTGTCTCTCTTCTCTCTCTTCCTCTGAGCTTGTCTCTCTTCTCTCCATTCCTCTGTGTGTCCTCTCTCTCTCTTCCTCTGTGTGTCTCCTCTCGTTTCTCTCTTTCCTCTGTGTGTCTCTCTCTCTTCCTCGTGTGGTGCTCTCTTTCTCTCTGTATGTGTCTCTCTCTCGTTTCTCTGTGTGTGTGTGTTCCTACTTCTTTCTCTGGTGTGTGCTCTCTCTCTCTGCTCGCGCTCGCGCGCTCTCTCTTTGTCTGTCTCTCTCGCCTGTTGTGTATGTGTGTGTGTGTGTTAGTAAAGGGGACGGGCTGACTTTTTGGAATTCAGATATTTTCCAGGTTGTTTTGCTCATTTTAACACGCTTTTTCTGTTTTACTTAATAATTTTATGTTATTTGAGCACTTTTCTCTTGCAACCAGGTACTATGGGGTTGAATTTCATACACTAAGATCTCCATTTTCTGTACCACTTTTGAATTTTTAGAATTAATAAATATTCATAGCCTATTTGCTTGACACATCCGAGATACCTTCGTTTTAGGAATTTTTGAAGATCGATTTTGCAATACAATAATTTTAAAATGATGTTCAAAAATGGTATTTAAGTTTATAGTAGTTTTCATATCAATTTAAATTAAGTTATGAGAAATAATAATTTTTTTTCAAAACATGGATTTTGTTTTTTATAATTAACGAAGTTTATACGGATAGAGAACATTTAATCGTATAATTTTATTTACATCTAATTTTTAAACTAAAACAATTTTTAATGTTTTTGGACTTTCTGACAAATCTTATATAGTATTAATTTACAACTTCATCTAATGATATAATGACTTTAATTATAAAATAGTATACTCCGGTGAACTTCTGGGGACTAATATTTTTGGTTCACAATATCTGGTGATGTCGAAGTTAAACAGAATTTCTCCACAATTGATTTTATTAATAGAGAGGTACATCGAAATACATTAACAACATGTACAGATAATTTCAATATCTTTAATTGTCCTTAAAAAGTAAATTATTTTTGATTGTTTGCTGCAAACATACCCTTACTAATGAAAATTAGGAAACACTGATCTAATGAAATTACTAACGTTTTTCACCTCATGGCACACTAACCCAAAGCCATTTTTAGTCACAACACTCTTACTTTATTATTTTGCATTATTAACTATTATTAAATGCTTTTACTGTTTCTATCTTTATATATTAGGACAGAACTATAAATAATTAGAAAAGAGGAGTATTATTAGTAGTGTTTTAACCAGAGCAACAAAAAACAGCATTTTAATACGAACACATATTTTAATGTTGAGAGAAACCAGTAATATGTTTATGAAGTATATAGTAGGCTATATTATGAATTTTGTTTTCAAAAACTACCTTCAGAAATTGTATAAAATAAAATCTAGTGGGAAATTTGTGCCTGGTGTCCCTTCATTATAAGTTCCTGTCTGGGACAAATGGTTGATATGCACACCCACATGTTGTTTTCCAAAGTTTTAAGTTGAAAACTAGTTTCGATCTTGATGGGGTTTATTATCAATAAAGCTGTTTCATAGATGTATGAAATAGAAAATGGTAAATTGCTTCTTCGAGATCAATGGATTTAACAGAGGGATCCAAAAGGTAATGTCTGTGTTCACCTCACTTTTCCTTAATTTTGAAGCTGCCTTCAGGAAAAAAAAACTTAAAATCTAGCTTTCGAAGGCTTATTTTTAAAGAAATAAACCATTTTTACACACAGTACTGCAGTTTAAGTCATGTTTAACATCAATTGGTTCACTTTCATCTTCAGTAGTAAACAAAGCAGTCTTGAAGGCAGAATCAATGAAA